AGCATGTTCCGGGATAATAATTTTAGTCATTAGAAATGATTTTTTTTAAAAAAATGTATGCTAAATAAATATATATGAGACTTTTTATGGTGTAATATTAGCTGATATACATACGTCATCAGAAATTAGAAATCATCGATTTTTGATCTGCAAATTTCACATTTTTTTGCAAACCGCAATAAATAGAAAAAATAATTTATCGAATTTTGCCATGTAGTTGTCAAGAAATCATTAATTATATTTTTTAAAAAAAATTTGAACATATGCATTGCAGCTTTAAATGTTAAATTTAAACAGATATTTTCAATAATTACTTTATCAAATGCATTAAAATTTTTTATTTTAATTTTACAAGTTTGCAAACATTCAACTTCTTTTAAAAAATATAATCAATGATTTTTCAACAACCACATGGCCAAACTTGATAAATATTTATTTTTAATTCTACAAGTACTGTATTTAAAATAAAATAAAAAATTTTCATCCAATTTGATTTAGCTAATCACTAAGAAAAGTTTTAAACACTTAAAAAATAAAAATAAAAAGAAACTTTTTTTTTAAACTTAAATTATTTCTTAATAACTATTCAATTAAATTCTATGAAAATTTAATTTTAATTCTACAGACATGCAGAATTAAACCAAAAATATTTTCATCAAATTTGATGAAGCAATTATCGAAAAATATTTAATAATTAAAATAGCAACACATATCTTCAAATTTTTTAAAAATATAATTAGATTTTTTGACAATCACATGGTAAAACTCGATAAAATTTATTTTATATTAATTTTTACGAGCATTTAGAATTAAAATAAAAAAATTTCATCAAATTTATCGCTAAGAGATCTTCGTTCAAAGTCTTGAAACTCTTGTAAAAAAAAAACACACATTTTTTAAGCTTAAAGTGACTATTACTTAATAACTACTCAATCAAATTCGATGAAAATTTTTTAATTTTAATTCTACAGGCCCATAAAATTAAAAAAAAAAAATTTCATCGAATTTGGTTCAGTAGTTATCAAAATCAAGAATCTGCCGTAACAATTTTCGATGAAATTTTTTTATTCGAATTATATATACGCATAGATTTCAAATAAAAACGTTTGGTCTAACGGTTATCTAGATTTCATCTTTCACTGTTAGAGAAAAAAAAATTGCCGCAACTTCTATTTTTAATATGCGTTTTGATTTTTCTCTGACTTTGAGCGAAGATATCTCGCCAAACACTTGATTAAATTCGATAAAAAAATATTCTTTATTCAGTTAAAAAAGGGTTTATCGAATTTGATCAGATGGTCGTCGAGATAACTTCGCCCAAAGTTTTGAAATTTCTTATTTTTACTGAGATCTCACGTGACATCAGTATCTAAAAGTAATGGCAGGTGATCAATTGCTTATGTAACTATCCCATATATGGGTCTAATTATTTTTGCGAGTATCACAAAGCAAAAAGGAAATTTAGTTCTGTAAACAAACAAATTCGCAAAAACAAAAGTTTAAGGTTAGAACGTTTAGTTGTAAATAAAATAAAGACAAAAGTTTAGGGTTAGTATAAAGGCTATAGCGATAGATTGTCACTTATTATATGTAAAATTTCTCCCGTCATCTATTAATTTTCGAATATTCTCGTTTTCTTTTCTTTTTTCTGTGTTCGAATTCTATGTTGGGCTCATCCTTAAAAACACATTTGTTTAAAATCAATCGGAGCACCTAACACAATTACTAAATTTATTTGATGTACTAAAAATAACGCTATATTTATATCATCCAAATCCAGCCTGCACATCATTGTAGAGTGTTAATAACACTTATTAAACCGATTGCTTAATTACAAAAAAAAAACACAAAGTAACTTTAAAAAATCATAATATTTTATCTAAAAAATTTTAATTTAAACTTATCTGCTATTTCAGCGGACTTACAAAACAATGAACAATATGCACATTCTTGTTAACAATTTGCAGTTATTTTAATTGTGACTAATTTGCTTTAGCGAAAACAGACTTAATCATGATTAATTATTTATGATTATTAAAACTAAGGATCATAACTATCAAAAATACAAAGGCCATAAGGTTATTGACGTAGAAAAATTATTTCCTTATATGTGATAAAATCACTGACTATATTCCCAAGTGTAACATAGGAGTAACAAATCCATGATTATTCTAAAGTGTTATCGGAATATTTCAAGTTTCTTTAACCCAAACTACGGAATCTCGGCTGAGCCACTATTTAAATTAAAAATTTATACTATTTATGTGTTTATATAAAGCTAAGGTTTTTTTTGTGAATCCACAAAAAAGAAAATGTCAACGATTAATTTTAAGGAGTTTCATATAGATTATGATGAGTTTGAAGAATTTAATCTCATTAGAATGGGAGGTTCAGGAGTTGTTGGAAAAGCCCGATGGATAAAACATAATAAATACATCATCTTAAAGCAGATTGTACCAAAAGAAAATGAGCCAGAAAATAAAGAATTCGCTAAAGAGGTAAGATATGTGCTATTCGAATTGAATCGGATATTATTTCGCGTACAGTACAGTAGGGTTCACCAAACTTTAATATTGGATGGTTGGCTGAGTGACGTTATTCAATCCTAAAAAAGAAACAGCAACTATCAAATTCGGTAAAAATTTTTATCTTAATTCTATGCTTTACGGTAATATAATTATTTTTTAAAAAAATTACAATTTTCAAACATCATTCGAATATTTTTAAATAACCATCTTTCCAATTTGATAAACTTTTTAATTTTAATCCCATAATTTCGCAGAATAAATAAAAAACTTAAGAAAAAATAAATGCTGCTGTGAGCTTTTATTTATTAAAAAGTTTACGAAATTTGTATAGCAGTTGTTGGAAAATATTAATTTTTTATACCCTGGTCACTATATCAAGATCGCAGGGCATAAATCAGTTATGTCCTGGGCACTATGTGATAAGCGGGACTTTCAGCCCCGCTTATACCCAACTGCCCAGGAAATAACTATTACAAATCTACAGCTTATTTTTTATAATGCCTAAAATTTGAACGAAGATTAGTCGTCACTCAATAACCAATTCTCTTAATTTTTTTTTAATTCAGAGATTATAGAATTAAAATAAAATTTTGACCAAATTTGACCCGGTAACTTTGTTCAAATTTGGCATCTTATAAAAAAGAAGCTGATGATAATATCTTTTATATCTGTTCTCATAAATTCTGAAACAAGAGAAAAATTTCTGATGACCGAATTCATAAGTTACCGTGTCGGAATCAATATCAGAAACTTACCGAATTCGGTCATCAATTGTCCCAAAATTTATGAAAACAGCCGTAATGAATACTGTATTTCTCAACAACTGCTAACCAAGTTCGGTAAGTTTTTATATATGCTGAGAAATATTCATTTAAAATGTAAAAAAATGAAACTTTGTCAAATTTAGTTTTTTTTTCATGATTTTCTAACTTTTTTAAAAAAAAACTTCTAGCGAATTTTTATTTAGTTCTACTAAATTATTGATATAAAACTTTTACCGAATTTGAACAAATAATTATTGAAGAATTAATTCTGTTTTGATTGGCCGTTTACTTTTATCACCGGATCTCTGAGGTAGACAGTTATTATGGCAAACTTGAGAAATTGAACCTTTAACTAATATTAAGCAAAACCAAAATTCGATATGCATTTACTATATTCAGAATTTTTGTCGACCATTTTATAAGTTTAGTAGTGATACAATGTACGCAAAAAAAGAAAAAAAAATTCAATGATATTGATCTTCATGGTTTCTTTGTATGTTATATTTAAACAGATCAAAGCATTTTATTCTATTCAAGAGCCTCCTATAGGAAAAGGTTATAAAAATATTGTTAAATTTTTTGGTGTAACAAGGTATGTTGGTAAATTCTTATGATTACTTTGTTTTAAAATAAAATTTGATAGGCTTAAATAATTTTTTACTGTCATAGTAATAATAATAATAATAGTAAGTGCAATATAACGATATTTTGAATCCGACTATTTCACCGACATCGCTTCACAACCCATTTAGCCGACAATTTAATAAAAATATATACCAGCGAGCGACTAATTAAATGTAATAATAGCCCTATGTGATTTCGGCTAAATGAACTCTCAGTGAAATGCTGTCGGTGAAGTGAGTAGCACTGGCTGTGGCATAGCTCTACAATAATTTAAATATTAGTACAACTTAGTTGTTAGACGAAATCATTTTTTACGTAGTGACAAAATCCTAGGTTTCGTCTAATTAAATGTTCTTGACTGTATTTAAAATGGTTTTTTGGCAGAATATGCGAAAATCATGTAAAATTATTATGAAGTGAGACCAATTTATCGAAATATCTGTAAGTTGAGAACTTCACATTTTCTTTAGCAACGCTCAATATTAGCGTACTTATGAGACAGCTATTTATTATGCTTATAGATAATATTATGGGACCCTATATACATAGTCATCGCTTAAACCGTTTGGACAGCAACTATGGATCCGGCAAAAATTTTTATTATTCGACTCATCTCATTAAGGCCAATGATGCAAGATTAAATATAACATGTATTTTTATCTATTTGAAACGTGTGTGCAACTTTAATTGATGTATAAAAGCCGATTTATTTTATATTCACATGATATTCATAGAAAATCAATAGTTAACTAAAAGTTTCGCATATTTTTAAAAAAAACTGTCTTATCCTTCAAGATTTTCATTGTTAAGGATTTCGTCATTACGTAAAAATAGTTATCTAATAACGCTAATGTTACTTGTGTGATGCATCATTTAGCGCTTACTGCTGCGCCTCAAGTCCTTTTCCTAGTATTAGACTACGCGGATCTTGGAGATTTGGAATTTTATTTGAGTAATAATAATGATTTGAAGTGGGAAAAGAAGATTTATATTGTTCGAGAAATCGTGTGTGGCCTAAATTTTTTACATAGTAAGAAAATTTTGCATCGTGACTTAGTAAGTTTTCTATTATATAATGGATATTCTGTATTGTTATTAATAGATAATTGATGTCTATTTTTCGTTAGCATGCCGGAAATATGCTCATTAAAAGTAGCAGTTCTGAGTACGGCATTGAAGTTCTTATTACTGATTTTGGACTTTCCAAAGTTGCTTCTAGTCAAAGTGTATCGGGACAAGGAATAAAAGGATGCGTCAGATATATGGATCCCTTTATATTGTGCAAATTAAACAATGATTTTGGGCAGGTGTATGACTACCCATCTGATATATATAGCCTTGGTGTAATAATGTGGGTAATTTCAAATAATGGTAAAAAAATATTTGCAAATGTTGGTGATACAGAGGTGATTTCCAAGATAATAAATGGAGAGCGGGAAAAGCCAGTATGCGGGTCCACTCAATCTTATGTTGACCTTTATACAAAATGTTGGGATCATGATCCTGAAAAACGACCTAAGATTGATTATATTTATAATACGATACATGAAAAGGATATGATATCAGGAAAACTATGGAAAGAAACAATATCTAATGAAAATACTACAATATTACATGGTGAGAAATACTTTTAAATGATTCAAAATACCTAATTAAACAATTGACTCTATGTATACTTATTAAGTTAATAAGCATACGTAATGATTTTGCATTCAGTTTATGATATATGATATAATGCACTTTTAAAATATAAATATTTTTCATGTAGTAGAACCTAATGAATTACCATTGACGAACAATATTTCAAAAAACATAGATATTAAAAAGGTCATTAATGATATTAATGATCTTCCAGGTTTGTATTTAAAAGTTGTAAATAATAATTTTTACAAATATTTTTCTAATGAATTTATTTTTTTTCACATAGATGAAACAGTTGATTTAATAGCTCAGATACCAAAAATAAGAAATATAGTTTTAAATCAGGTAAATCATGATAAAAGAGATAATGAAAATACTTCACGAAAAAAGGTTTCTTTTTCTTTCAAATGGCTCAAGAAAAATTTAGATAAATTGAAAGAGATATTAGCTCATAAATGGAATAATCATAGGTAATTAAATAATATATTTTTTAATACTCAAATTTGAAATTCATATTTCTAACTTGTGTTGTGTAATACAGAAAGTTTTTACATAATAATAAGCATTATATGTCACTAAAAAAAAGGAATAATAAGCATTATATGTCACTAAAAAAAAGGAATAAGAGAACAAAAGAATCGATTGAAGTTTAAAGAAAGCATTTTAATTCGTTATATGATTTTATTTTTAACTAATTAATATTAATAAGAATTAATGATTAATTTTGAAATTTGTTAATATATAAATACCAGATAAAATATTTGCTCTATTGGTAATTCTAAGAATAATTATTATTAGATTGGTTAAGTATAAATAAGATTACTTATTCCACCTATAACTATATAATTAAATATGTATAAGAAGACCATTATATTTTTTGTTAATCCTCAATCATGATTGGCTGATTTGGGTCAAACCAAATGCACGGCTCAGTAAAAATAAGAATTTCAAAACTTTAGTGAAGATATCTCAACAACCATCTAATCAAGTATGATAAACCATTTTTTATTTGAATTCTATAGATTTATAGAATCCAGATAAAAGAATTTTCATCGAATTTAGTCCAAAGTTAAAGACAAAAAACAAAACGAATATCAATAAAGCTACGCCAAATTTTTATCTAACTTTGAGCGAAGATACCTCAACAACCATTTGACCAAATTCGATAAAGTTTTTTCTGAATTCTATGGATTCATAAAATTTGAATAAGAAACTTTTCATCGAATTTAGTCAAGTGGTTATCGAGCTATCTTATTTCAAAGAGAAAACCAAACCGCATATATCTACACCAAATTTTTTCTCTAACTTTGAGCGAAGATATCTCGACAACTGTCTGACAAAATTTGATTAAATTTTACTTAAATTCTATTAACCAATAGACTTCAAATAAAAAAAGCTTTATTCAATTTGGTCTGATAGTTCTCGAGTTATTTTCGTACAAAGTTAGAGAAAAAATTTGTCTGATAGTTCTCAGGTTATTTTCGTTCAAGGTTAGAGAAAAAAATTTGGTAGATTCTATTTTGTTATGCGCTTTAATTTTTCATTAACTTTGAGAGAAGATATCACGATAGCCACTTGACTAAATTCGATGAAATTTTTTTTTATTCGAATATATGAATCAATCTAATTCGGATAAAAAAAGTTTTATTTTGTTTGGTCAGATTGTTGTCGAGATATCTTCGTCAAAGTTAGAGAAAAAATTTGGCGCAGCTTCTATTTTGATATGCGTTTTGATTTTCTTTAACTTAGAGCGAAGATATCTCGATAACTACTTGACTGAATTGATGAAATTTGTTTATCTGATTCTATAGACCATGTAATTCAAATAAAAAAGGTTCTTCGTTCAATTTTTCTTATTTTTACTGAAATCCGCACGACGATCAGTATCAAAAAAGTAGGTGCAGGTGCGCATAGCACGTGACGGAAAATTGAAGCAAAATTTATTGCGCTGGAATGAAAAAGATCTTTATAGCCCTACTCAGAAAACTTTTATTTGATTAGTAGATACTCGTGTAACGTTTTATTAAAAGATATTGGACTTCAAAAGAGTGTAAATATTCACCAGCTGTGCAAATTATAGCCTTTCTTCTCTACAGTTACTATCAAAACCTTTATATAATCATATACTGCCATTTTTATATTTATATAATTACAAATAGTTTATAATCACTATTACACTTTTATAAAAACTTTTTACAAATTTTTACTAGTAAAAATGCCACAATACAAATATTTATATATAAAATTTTGCTAAGCAAATTGATTTTCAAAATTTAAATATAGTTGTTTGTTATAACAAAGTACATATAACATATTATGAAATATTTATACTTTTTTTCACCTAATATAAAATGAAAATGCAAATTAATAAAAGATTATCCAAACTGTATAAAAATTTCAAAATATATATGGTTTATTATACCAAGAAATTTATTAAATTGTTGACAATCTGTTCATTTCATTACAATTTTTATTAACGGCATTGTTAAATCACACCACTGGTGTTAAACACCATATATTAATCACATGACTTTTATTTATTATTTATATATATATTATATATATATATATATACTATGTATATATAATACTCAAAGATAAATCACTGGATTATTGGCCAATCAAATTATGAAGCAAACAAAGCAATCTAAACCTGCTTTAAAAAAACATATTATAAAACTAACCCTAATTTACCATACCTCTCTTAAATAATACCCAGTAGTAATTTATTACTTTTATATGATATATCCTCCATATATAGTATTCAGTTTCTTATTCAGTACTCACAAATACTATGTATTCAATTTTAAAAATGAAGTTCTTGAATAAGACTCAGATACAGTGCAAAATGGTAATCATATCAGATATTGTAATTTTTAATTTACTGTAATTATACATGTTCAAAATAAGGTATTTAGAACTTTTCTTATTCAGAATTTTTTTTTAAATTTTAACAAGTCAAATAGTTTCCATAACATCAAAGTAACCAACCAACCAACAAAGCAATTATAAATTATGGGTTACACCATGGCAAATCTTTATTTCAAGTGTATTATTTATCTATTCTAACCCAGATTATAAGATTCAGATTATTAATCATTCACATTTAAGGTTTTCAGTTTAAACAAGTTTGTGTATTATAACCTTTTTGGTGACAAATCCTATATTGCCTTGATTTGTCTTCGTAATTTTAACCAGTTTTAGCTTTTTTAATATATAAAACAAGCATAAATATAGTTATATATATATGTACAATAAATATTATGTGGAACCAAAATACTAGTTTGTCTATCATCAAGAATTTTTTTACTAGATTCAGATAGAAAATTCTCATTGTCTTTATTGCTTTCTAAACAAGTTTGTGAGTTATGACCTTTTTGATAATATATTCCACATTGTTGCAACTTATCTTCTTTATTATTTCAACTATTTTCAACTTCTTTGTATATAAAAAAAGAAATTAGGCTGCATATAAATAACAAATACAGTAGTGCCAGTATATACCTGCACCTGTTTTACAAAGAATTCTTTTACTAAATTCAGATGTTAAATTCTTATCACTTTCATTATCTTCGGGACAAGTTCATGCATTATGATCTTTTCAATAGCAAATTCTGTATTGCCTCAATATAACTTCACATTCATGATTTTGACTGGTTTTAACTTATATGTATTGTACAAAAAGCAAAAAAATACACACAGATAAATTACAAAATACAAATAAAGATTTGAAATATCTGCTCCCATTTTAGAGATTTTATTACTAGATTCAGATCTTGGTGGTATGGAAGTTTCATTATTATTAAATCTCTTTCTTTTTTCCTTTATGTTTGTAATATTATTAAAGGCCTTTTCTCTTTTAGATTTTCATCATTTTGGCCTGATACCAATTGGATTACTAATGATGTTTGCAAATTTGGTAAGATCATTGTCATCTTCTATAATCTGCCCTTCATTTTGTACAATTTTGTTTTTCATTTCCTCAATAAGATCAGTATGTATTTTGTAAAGTTGTTCTGCTCTACCCATTGAAATAGCTAAATCCAATGCTTTTTTCATTATTCCAAACCCTTTACCCCATTGTTGTTTAAGTGTAAACTCTTGAGAAATTTCTTTGATAAAAACATGTTTTCCATGAATACTCTCTAAGTGGGAAAATTCTATTCACTCATCATGCTCTAATGTGCCAAAATCCTCATTTAAAACTGTTGTAACTGCAGGTTCACTCGCAATTGTTGAATTTGTCATTATATTATTGTACCAATATTGAGACACAAGACCTAAATAAAATTTTGTATTTGTTGAAATGAGCATAACTGGGAAAAAATGATAACACACAAGACTATGATTAATTAGCATCAGACATGTACAAAGGTGAGCAGCACTATTATATAAAACAACAAAATTCTCAGATTTTTTGTCAATAGAATAAATACGCCAAATCTCATAGATTCTATTTAATTCAATTTCAGCAATCAAGTTTTCAAGTTCAACTATACTCATGTTGAATATATTTTCTAAATATAACCTATTTGATGAACCATCGGTCACCTGCAGAAAAAAAAATTTTAAGTATTTTTCATATTCATTTATACAATAATCTGATACGTATTGAATAGTAACCTGTTTTCTAATTTTATTACTCAAATTAATTAAGCAACACCAATAATGTGCACTGTGATTTATTTCATTTCTCTGAAGTTTTAGAATTGCTAGTGTTAAAAACACTGATACATCTCATCTACTTTATTAAAATACCGATCATGATAGCCCTCTTCTCTGCTCATTGGGAACTGCCGATTGTATCATTTAAGCTTACAAATCTACTTTCTTTCACCAACAGTCTCTCGTTAGTGTGATCAAGCTCTAAAAGTGAAGATGTGTCATTTATATTATTTTTAATTATGCTATTATAAGCTTCAACTCTGTATGCTGGCATTAAAAGCACGATGCATATAACATAAAGCCTATGCTTCTCTAAATGGATATAGCCTACACTGCAAGTAATTACCTGCATCAACATATTCCTGCACCAAAAGAGCTCATCTTTCTTCAAATATAGTTTCAACCCAATTTTTATTTGAATAACAAAATGTATCAAAAAACTTTCGCCATTTTTCTTCTCGATATTTGCTAAGAAAATGGTTTTCCAAATTTTTGTAAATATGAAATAGGCAAAAATGGTGCTTAGTTGTTGCCTATGAACTTCTTGCAGCTGCTATAATTGCAGGATCAGCATCTGTGTAGAGTAAAGATAGTACTAATCTACCTGTTGCTTTATTAAGGCTTTCAAATAACAATGAAAATAAATCTTTAGTTTTATCAGATATTAGAGCAGTGGCTCCAAGTCAAGATCTATTATTATTGTTAATTATCCCTTTTGACACCAAATTTATACATTGAGACATTTAAATTTATATATTGGGACATTTAAATTCATACATCAAGACATTTAAATTCATATATTGGGACAT